CCCCCCCCGCCGCAGACCTTCGCGGACCTCGCTGCAGGATTTGGGCAACTTTGCCAGGTTAGCCTGCACACCCCACCTCCCCCCACTTCCCCCTACCCCCCACCCCACCCCCCACCCCCGGGCCACCGTGCGGGCGAATGGAGGGTGCCCTGGAGGAGGAGGAAGAGGAGGAGGAGGTCGGGCGGCACATTTGCATGTACACAAATTTCCTTTAAAGATCAGACCTCCTAGGTAACTTTTCTCGCCAGCCGCCCCCACTCACCCCCCCCCCGCTCTGAAATGCGGTACGGCTCAAAGCATTGTAATCTCTGGGGCGAAGCTTTCTGTGGGAATAGATTCATCGGCATTGGTAATTATGCACAAAATCCTGCAAACTTCATGCAGCTTCGGTCCTGTGGCATTCAGAAGCCAGGGTGGTGGGGAATTATCTCACCGAGAAGATTCACCGGATTTTTTTTTTTGGGGGGGGGGTTGTCTGGAGAGAGGAAGGCGGAGATTAAGAAGCGTTCTTCCCTCCCAGGACTCTGGAACCAGTGGGTTTGAACACAGACGCCATACAAAAAGTTCTATCTCGTTAGAAACAACAGTGGTTTAGCTGGGACTTTTTTTTTCCTGTTTAGAAGGAGAAAAAAAAAATCAAATAAGAAAGAGATGTCCCCTTGAGGGAAGGCATATGCTCTGATCCACAAACGCGTATCCAGGAGTGGACATCAGCTGTCATTAGCCTCCCCCTGGAAAGGTGCCTTTTCCGAACCCCCTCTTTTTTTGACTCCCCCAGGTAATAGTTCTTAAAATGGAAAAGAGCTTCCTGCAATTATTTTAGGTTTGCTAAAGTATTGTTTTGGCAGAAAAGGGGGGTGGTTTTTAGGGTTTGGCAAGTTGCCAATAAGCCTGCTTTTCCAGTTTTTTTTTCTAACCTCATATTTTTTTCTCTCCAGCTCTCTTTTTCTCCGTCCTATCTTTTTCTCTTCCTCTTCCTCATGTGAATTTGCAGTCTCCTACGTTTGCCAAACCCTCTCAAAACTCCTAAGGGAAAGAGTAGGGTATCGTGTTGAACCGGACCCTGGCACCCAGACAGGGGAATCTGCACCTTGGTAGAGGTGACATAGCGGAAGGGACTCCAAAAGAGGAAATTTCAGATGGAAAGCCCACCAGGCAAATAAGGGTACATGATGTATCAAGGGCCACTTCCATTCTGACTTGCTTTTTAAGTAAGGAGCAAGAAATATCCAAGAAACAAAATAAAATCTCCTGAAATAGTTCGACATCCGTCTAAAATTATTGTGTGTTTGTTCCTAGTTACTTTAGTGCTCAAATAAATCCCCAGTGTTCGAGAAACCATCCTCTCCCCCACCCCATCTTAAACATACTTGAAAACCTCTCAAGTATTTAAGTGGTAAAGAGAAATAATAACTTCAGCCTTTAATTAGAGTGTCCACCCTGCCCCCCCCCAGGAAAAAAAACTGAACAACTGCCTTTCTTTAGTTGCTGGTGGATTTCAGTAGGAGAGGAAATGCCCTCAAAGCTAGGCGAGTTACAGAGTCAACACCCCTGGCCACGAAAACCTTTGCTGGGATCTATAACTTCTATAACTTCAAGCGCTCCAAGTTTCCTCGATAGAAGTTTCTGGCTGACGGTCCCAACATGTAACTGAGGCACGGTGAGAAGTTATTGTTCCGAGTGTGTACTCTTGGGACGCTCTCTTCTAGGGTAGATTAACATCTTTCTTTTGGTGTATTAAAAGATACACTTCACATCTGCCTCTTTTCAAAACAGCAAAGATTCTTACTTTTGATTGAGTTCAAGAAAGGGGAAAAATTTTTATAAAAAGGACTGGCACGTCGCCCTGTTTTTTTTTTAATGAAAGTAATTTAATGCTGATATTTCCACTTTAAAAACTTCTTTTGTTACAGCAGTGGATGTGCCCGCGATTTCCAGCTTTCTGCGGTTAGCAATATTATCTTAAGTAACTTTTGGCGCCCTTCAGAAGACTTTTGGATATGGGACGATTGTTTGCGCCCTCTAGGCAAGGGCTGGATCCAAGTTCAGCACCAAAGCCCTTCACATCCGCTCCTGCTTTCTCTCCTATCTCGGCCAGCTCCCGCTCCCTCCCCCGTGCGGGAGGGGAGGAGGGGTGGGAGGCGGGGGAAACACTACAAAGCCCAGTTCCAGCTACAGCCTTTGGAAAGTCGACTGAGAAAAATACAGTAGAAGAGTTACAGTTACAGAAAGGCTTCTGGTAACTTTCTCTCCAACAGGCATAAATTTAAACACACACGCGCGCGCGCACACACACACACACACACACACACACAGATGTTCCTCAAAGACAGACTAAGGGGAAAAAATTATTTTCCAACTTTCTCTCTTGCTCCCAAATTGCAAAGTAAATTCTTGTCCAGATAGTAAGGAGACAGAATAGAGTCAAAGAGAGTCGGGGGAGGGGGGAGAAACAGGTGAAATATGAAAACTAGTTTACTGTACTGCTGCCATGGTATAAATGACCCATTGTTAGGAAGGATAAACCCCTTATTGGAAATAACCGCTCCAGTCATTTATTTTGCAAACTGGTAGGAGGCTGCCTTGAAATGGGATTGTCTCTGAGAAAAGGAGTCTCCTGTCATGCTCTCTGCTATCCATATTCTTCCTGGCCCAGAGCCCAGCCTTGCATTTACTGTGTTTTATTTGCAGAAACATTACCTTGCCAGCTTTAGTGAAATCCTCTTAGATATATAAATTATGTCAATAAGGTTTCACTTATATATACATCTCAAATACCTCTCATTTTGCAGGTTACTTAATTGGCAAATCTTATTAATATGATTTTGATTTTAATGCCCAAAGCAGCGAATATCCTCACTGGGATTTGTAAGTGACAACCACCATTCACTTTGTAGTTCTTACCAAGACTAACTTCATTAACTCACATTTGCCAACATTTTTCTTCTCTAGTTTTTGACTAGCTGAGCACTTGTGTGCTAATTTTTCTTATGAGTATAAAATCGTAAATTGAATCATGTTGCTGAACCCAACACCTCCAGTAAAGTTGAACATAAAAAGTTAAAACAGGATTTTACTGGAAGGCCCAAAGCCTTAGGAAATAATTAGATGGGAATGTCCAAAAAAAAAAAAAGTCCTAAGATTATTTTCCATTCACTTCCCAACAGGATTAGGTGTTCTAATCAGAGAAAAGGTGATAGATATATTTCAGGCAGAGGCTACTAAGTTACAGTCTCCAAGACAAGCTACTACAGTTGCTTTGCACTGAACTGGGGTCAAGGACTTGAACAAGAGGCCAGGCTACAGCTAACAGTTAGGAAGTCAGCAATCTTACAGGCTTGCAGCTTCAGGAGGGGTTGTTGTGGGAACAAGAAATGTGAACTTGGCCTGTCTTAACTATCCTGTTTACTACTGAGCAAATACTTAAACAGTAGAATTCAAGAAAAGCTTCCTTTCAAATGTATGAAACAGCTGTCAGTCCACCTGTGAAGCATTCTCTTTTAAGACATCAGAAATCAAGAGGACCTCACCCATTCCTTCAAAGTACTGGAAATGTCAAAGCTTCTCAGAGAATCAGAGTGAGTTCTGAAATGCTGAGTATGCAAAATATATCATTTCCCAAAGCTCCCTGCAGCCCCCAAATCCAGGCCACTTCCACCTTCCACAAGTTACCAGTTTTCCCCCGAGTAACAAATACAAAGTTACCAAATTCAAAGTTGAATGTTTCTCTAGAATTTTTTTTCTTTTTCCAAAGGGCAGAGAAAAAGGCGTCAGAGTCAAGCAAGGAAATACCCAATCACCTTTTCCCCCCTCGCTTAAACTTGCAAACTCTTTCCTATTGTGCTTGCTAAATCCGGAAGAGCTTGTGGCATTGACAGCTTGAACCACACCAACCCCTTCAGAGAAGCCGAGAACTTCAGATCTCTTCTGCCCGCCCCCTCTGGCTATTGCAAGCCATTCATTGTACACCTCGAGCTTTCTCCTGATTGGGTGGAGCTTTTGTCAATCTCCTAGGTTGTCCCATTGATTAGAGGACCGAATCGTCAATTATTCTCCCGGTCCAGACATTTCTTTTTCGGGTTAGGTTGACTGCTAAGGCCAGACGTCTTTTACAGATCGGAGCACGTACAGGATTCCCCCACCCCTTTCTGGAACCGAGCAAGCGCTAGGAGAAAAAAAAAATCTGTTAAGCTCAGCAATTTTTTCAAATCTCGAAAAAAAAAGGGAAAGTCGGTCTCAGATGCACACAGTAAAAAACGCCACAAAGCTATATCTTTTAAAGAAAAGCATCACAATAGACATTTACCCAGCAATCACTTAAGTGCATATTTGAGTTACAGAAAGTCTCAGTCATTAAGCATAATCATTCTATCATTATTGTTTATAAAATGCATATTGTCTAAACGTAAAACAGAAAGTTTAAGATGTGCCACGTACCATTGCAATGT